CTCCTTATCTTTTCTGACAGAAGAAAATCTGTCAGCTTAAGTTGACCCAAGAATTTAATGACTTCTTTTCTCGTTGGAGGTGAGTTTTTTGGCCTGCATTGTTCAGGATGCAGGTCACACCTCACAAAGAGCTTAAGAGCCCCCCCAGCCAGGCGGCTGCGTGTTGTGAGGGTCCACCCATTGGGACTCAAGCAGCCCCCCAGTCCAGCGCTGAGCCTGTGTTGGACTGGTTTCGGGGGGCCACAAACGCTTCTTGTGGGGTTTAGATAAGGTGTCTTGACACCTGCTGGTAGGACGTTTAAGAGATCAAGTGGCAGCTCCTTGAAACTCAGTAGCTGGCAATGTGTAAGGTCAGCTAAGGTGTCGATTAAAGTCTAGAATTTGCATAAATACACTTAAATAGATACTTAGCCTTAGACGGACTGAGTCTGGTAATGGTTTTTTTACAGAAAGAGGCATTTTTAAAAGCACAAACTTAAGTTATTCAGTCGAATTCTAAAGCCCTTGGTTAAGAGGAAATAAAACTCTCTGGCAAGAATAGAATCAAAAACCTTTTATCAGTAGCAATGTAAAATCAACCAAGTTATAAGTAAAAGTTAAAATCGCGTGTATTTTCTAAGCAGCTCTACTGAGACGAGACTCCCGGGCCACGGGGCTCACCGTGTTGGGTTGTGTCCGCTGCGCCCACAGGGCCTGCCAGCCTCACCAGGATCTAACTTTCTTCTCACGACGCCTACCTACCAGAAACCCCACACCCAGTACCAGCCCCTCCCTCCTCACCCTCCGCGCTGCCCTGGCCCTGGGTGATACTGTCCACTCCTGTGGTCTCGGCTGACAGCCCGAACCCTCAGCTGGGCTCAGTGGCTTCATTCTCCTGCTCCCACGCCGACCCCAGGCCATCCCTGGGACTCCTTCCTGACCCATGTGGGGAACTGCGGGACGGGGTGCTGCCCGCCTGCCGGGCTGGTCACAGGGCCTTGCAGGCTCTCCTGGGGCCCAGACGCCTGCTCCGAAACAGCCAGCCGTGAGGACAGGTGCTGGCCACCTGAGGTTCTCACCATCGGGACACTGGACAGACGTGTGGGGGGAGAAGCCTCTCAGATGCTTGGCTCCAGAGGCCTGGCTGCCATCTGAGTGCTGGTGCCCAGTGACTCCGAGTGACAACAGCCCCACAGAGCCCCGAGAGACACGAAATGGCCCTTTCGGGCCACTGAGTTCCGGGTGCTTTGTGAGGCCAGGTCAGCCCTGAAACACTGCCCAACCGAACCCATCAGACGGGCTTCCCTGCCGGCCCCCGACCAACCAGCACGGAGCAGCCTTTCCCTCCCGCCCCCTGGACTCGGGCAGCTCCAGCCTCACAAGGGGCCCGCACTCAGAAACCCTCTGCTCTTGCCCTTGTGCCCCAGACCCCTCTCCAGCCAGGACCCCTCCCACTTGCCCCAACACCTGGCTGTGCCCACTCTGGTCTCCACCTGTCCCCTCCCCCATCACCCGCAGACCCCCCGGTTCTCCTCGAAACAAGGTGTCGTCATCACTGTTTCTGCCGTCACCCTGCACCCCCTGCCACGTTCTCTGACACTCATCTGCTGACAGGCCTGCCGGGGCCCGTGAACTAGACCCGGAGCCCCTGGGTGAGGGGTGGGAGGTGAGAGGCAGAGTCAGTCCTCTGCAGAGCCCGGGACAGTGCCTGGCACATAGCCAATAATAAATCAGCCAGTAGATGTTAATTATGAGCAAACTGTGGAGAAATAAACAAGGGAGAACCATGTTCCAGGAGAACAAACATGCAGCTGGTCCTGAGCTTGGCATGCGGCCCGCCCCAGAGACCCACAGCAGGCCGGTGGGGACCCGATGCCCGGGACTTGGCTCCGGGTGAAGCCGGGGCTCCGTGTGATCGGACAGGGGCAGATTTGGCTTCTCGGGCTGGTCCTGAGTTGGAAGTGGCTTAAAACCAGGGAAGCGTCGGTCCCTGACCCGGTGCTGGCCGTCCGGACGAGGGCTGTGGCTGGCTCCCCGGCTCCGTGTGGGCCCAGGACTACTGCCGTGCGTGGCCGGACATGGTCCACTGTGCATTTGGTCTACTGGGTGGGATGATGAAAGACATCCTGGTGGGGTGGGAGGTGGGGACAGGACCAGGAAAGGGGAGCGGGGAGGTGTCGTGTGACCACACTCTGGGGGCTGCAGACCGGCCGGCTGGCCTCACCTCCACGCGGACGAGCAGGCAGGACCGGAGGACAAAGGTAGGGCTGCTGTTACTGGGGCAGGGGCAGGGGTACCCGGTCTCACATTGTCACCTGCACATTGTGTTTGTGTGTAAGTCCGCCAGTGGTGACACCTTTACTGCAGGTGGCTAAGCAAGCCTTTCTCCACCCCCATCAGAGCCCGGGGCACCCAAGGTGGGGGGAGGGGCTGGTGCTCCAAACGTGGCCGCCGTGGTCCGGGCTCCTGTGTGCCCAAGTCTGGCACCTTAGCTGTTATTCAGCAGACTGATGCTGAGCAACCACACCTGACACCGACGTCGGCAGGAAAAACTGGGAAGATGTCTGATCTGAGAGATTTATAAACCAACCGAAGAGTCTCCAGACAGAGAAGCAAATTTCAGAGTAATCAGGGGCCACGACTGGGCAACAGTTCAAGTTCAGAAGCAACTGCACCTCCAGGGCCTGGCGAGAAGGCCTTGCGGCCTTTTTTATTGTGGTAAAATACACACAATATAAAATGTACCACCTTGACCACGTTTAAGCGCACAGCTCAGCGGTATTGGGCACAGTCACACGGTTGGGCGGCCGTCCCCACCGTCCTCTGCAGAGTGTTCTCAACGTCCAACAGCTGAAGCTCTGTCCCCATCAAACTTGAACTCCACCTCCCCCACCCCAGCCCCTGGTGACCGCCACCCACTCTCTGTCTCTGTCGATTTGACCACTTGGGTCGCTCTAGTATTTGTCCTTCTGTGGCTGGCTCCTTTCCTTCAGCACAGTGTCCCCAGGTCCATCCATGTGATGTGACGTGTGTCAGAGTTTCCTTCCCTTTTAAGGTGAGTGACGCTCCATCCCGGGCACCGCCCACATGTTGCTTACCCACCTGTCCTCGGACACTTGGGTCACTACGCCCTTGGCTGCTGTGAAGGAGGCGGTGGGCTGCGGCCCCTGTCAGCTGCACTCCCCACTGTGCGCTCAGTGTGCGCCCACTGTGCGGGCCGGTTGACACACAGGGTACCCCGTTTGTAACTGGGCCTGGGACCATCTCAATGGCCTGTGACAAGGGTTGAGCCCAGAAAACACAAATCCTGGGTAAAGAACAGAAAGAACAGTGCAAATGTGACCTTTAAAAACACCCCAGTTGTGGTTCTCGCTGTGGCCCCAGGAGCCCACTCCTGGATTCACTCCTGGGGAGGGACACCGGGTCCCAGAAGGGCTCGGCTGTCCCCAGGCCCCACGGGGGCCCCACAGTCCGACTGGAGGCCCTGAAGTCACATCCCGGGCTCAGCCCGGAGGCGGCATTGACAAGGTGGGCCAGAAGGGCCACTGCGAAGACAGGGGAGCGCAGGGGCAGAGACGGTGCTGGCTCAGGGCCCCAAGGGCAGAGCAGGAAACAGACGTGGGGCGGGTGGTCCGGGCGGGGGACACATGGAGCCCCAGGGTCCCTGCCCCATGCAGTCGGCCAGGCGGGAGCCAGCCCGGCCGGTGCCCACCCAAGCGCTGCGCGGAGGAGCTCTGAAGGAAGCGCCAGGCCTGTTCCCCGCAGGGTTCTGGCCAACTGGGGCGTGAAGACTGATGGCCCCGGTGGCTCTGAGGGTGACAGAACGTTCTGGAACCAGACAGAGGTGGGGCGTGCACCACGCTGTGAGTGTGTTTGGTCTGGTTGGCCAGGCCTGGAGCTGAGGGCAGGTCTAGACTCGGGCGTCCTGGGGGCTCCCAGGCCCACCTCCCCTATCCCCGGGCAAGTTGGGGCTAGGCCCCAGGGTGTGGACTGGTCAAGGTCAGGGTCAGAAGTCAGCCCGGAGGGAGGCCTCCTACCCACACAGGCACAGGAGACTCGAGGGCGCCCTCCAGTGGCCAACATGCTCTCACTTATGCTAATAAGGGCCCAGTCATCCCAAGAGAAAGGGCTGTTCAAAACCCATTTCCACTCGCCAACAAAAAGAAATTTGCTACTGAGCCATGAAGATGCACAGAGGGGCCCTAAATGCACATTACTAATCTGTGAGAGGAGCCCATCGGAACAGGCCACTTCCTGTAATTCGCGACTCCAGGGCCGGGCGGAAAAGGCAGAGCTCTGGGGACAGAAGGAATGTCTGTGTTTGCCTGGGGAGGGGCGGGGTCGGCGGAGAGCAGGCGCAGAGGATGTTCAGGGCAGTGACGCCACTCTGTGTGACGCTGGTGACGAATACCTGTCCTACACTCATCCAGACCCACAGAGCGCACGGCACAGAGTGACTCACGTCAGCTACGGACTCGGAGCGACGGTGCCGTACCCCTATGGGTTCGTCCATGGTGACAAACGCACTGTGGTATCATAAGATGTTAATAGTGGAGGAAACTGAGGCAGGAGGAAGGGGGGTACGTGGAACCTCTCTGTGCTTTCACAGAGTTTTCCTGCAAACCTAACACTCTAGAAAATAATATCTATTATTTTTATTTTTATTTTCTTAAAGATTTTATGTTTGGAGAGAGCGGAAGGGAGGGAGGAAGAGAGGGAGGGAAACATCCATGTGTGGTTGCCTCTCATGCGCCCCCTACTGGGGACCTGGTCCACAACCAGGCATGTGCCCTGACTGGGAATCAAACTGGTCACCCTTTGCACAAGCCAGCACTCAATCCACTGAGCCTCACCAGCCAGGGCATGTCTGTTAATTTTACAAACACCCATTTTGCAAGACAAAAATTGGGAGAAGGAGGGAAAGGTTGTGGGTGCCCATGGAGGGTGCCTTGGGGACGGAGGTGGCCTTGGACATGGGGACACTTCTCAACCACCCAGGCATTGATAGGCCTGCCGGCCCGATGGCACTTGCCGGCCACCTGCTGCTGCTGCTGTTGCTGCCGCTCTGCACGCAGTTCGTGCCCTCAACAGCGCTGCACAAGGTAACCGCCACACGGGCGCCCCCGCACCGGGCAAGACCCCGACACCGGGCCTGCTCCCTGGGCTCCCGGGCTGCCAGCCTGGCCTCCTTCCCGCCGGGGCCTGACCCCCGTGTGCTCCCTTGATGCCCCGCCACCGTGGGCCGCCCCTCTATAGGTCAAGTCCCCCTCTGCCTTCCTGCTCTCCGCCCCAAGGCTGGCTCCTGGCCTGGCCTCCGAGCGCCCGCCGACAGGGGGAGCCCACACCCACCGCGGTTCTTTGTGCCCCCACTGACGTTTTGAATTGGTGAGAGTTTCTGGGACCGAGGTTTGAGAACTGCGGCTGGAGGCCACGCTGATGATGGTGGCTTCTGTGTGGGAGGCCTAGGGGCTGAAGGCAGCTCCTTGCTGGTCTGTGACCAGGTCAGGTGGCTTACAGTCTCTGAGCCTGGGTGTCTCACCTGCCGAAACGTGGTGAGCACATGGGAGGGGCGTGGCCTGGCTCCTGGAAGCTTCTGTTGCAGCATGTCCTCCTGCCCCGCTGCTCTCAGGGCCATTCACTAGCTTCCTCCACCTCTGTGCCTCAGTTTGCCCTCTGTCCACGTGGCTCAGGGCTGACACAGCCAACTGTTAGCTCCCTCCCTCCACTTTCCACTGGCCCCCTGGCCGTCCACCCTCCCTGGTCTGTGAATGTACGAGAGAAGTTGTCGGGGGCACGACGTTGGAAGGCTGGTGGGACCCGGGGAAGTGGCAGACAGCAGGAGAGGCCCCTGGGGGTCTGCAGCTGCCCCGACTCCGCAGGGCATCGGGGAGCCCTGTGAGGAGAACGTAGAATGCCAGAGCGACTGCTGCGCCACCAGCAGCCTGAACCCGCAGAAGTACTGCACGTCTCAGACCATCTTCCAGAAGTGCTTGTCCTGGCTGAAGGTGCGCCTCGCCTTCCGGAGGGAGGGCGGGTGGGCGGGGACAGGGGCGCGCCCCCGGCAGGCCCCCAGGTGCATGGAGGCCCGGCCTTCCCGCAGCCCAACGGCCTCGAGTGCTCGGACCCCGCGCAGTGCCGGAGCAACTGCTGCGTCACCAACAGCTACAACCCGCTCCGCTTCTGCACGCCCCGCACCATCTTCCTGCAGTGCCTGCCCTGGCGCAAGGTGAGGGCGCAGGGGTGCGCGGAGGTTGGCCGCGGGTGACACCTGCTGGGCTCCGGGCTCCCGCAACATCTGGGGCACCTGTGTCCTGTGCACCCCCAGCCCGACCGGGACTACTGCTCGGAGCACAGCGAGTGCCGCAGCCAGTGCTGCCTCAGCGTGACCGAGACTGCGCCTGCGCGCTGCCAGCCCCGCACCGGGGTCCTGGCGCACTGCCTGCCGCCCGTGAGTGCTGGGCGGTCCCGGGTCCCGCAGCACTGGGGGCTGCACGAGGCGTCAGAAGGGCGCAGTGGGGTTCCAGGTCCATCAGGGACCCAGTGGACACGGTGCCGATGCACCTGGGGACAGGTGAGGGTGGGGCTGCCGCCACCACAGGGCTGGAGGCCTGAGAGAGGACCCGCCCCAGCAGCTGAGTCTCCTCCCACCTCCCACGAGGTGAGCGCGGATGGAGAGGGAGGGGGGGCGCCGCGACCGAGACGGGCTGCAGAACCAGACGGCGCTGCTGTGCGGGTGTGGGGGTGTCAGCGCCCGTGTTGCTGGTGCAGCCCATTACTCCGCCTGACTCTACAGGGGTCTCGGCCCCCAGTGCTCAGGACCTGCCTGGTGCCGTCAGCGCGCAGAAATGGTTAAATTGTGGCCCAAGGAACCAGAGGGCCCCACTGATGTTCTTGGCCAGGTGAACTGAGTCCATCAAGGACTGGTGCTCCTGAGATGCCGAGTCCCGGAGGCCACTTCCCTCCGCTCTGCCCTCGGGCGCACTGTCCGCGGCACCCTCTGATGTCTGCTCTTTCCTGCAGTGACCGGGACAGGGACCTGTGAGCCGAAGAACTAGCCCAGCCCCCCCGCCCACGGCCCCTCCGCCTCACGTCACCTCCGAATGAGGGGGAGCTGGCCCGAGCCCCGCGGCTTGTTCTAGGACTTAATGACTTAGCCTCAGTAAAATTGGATCCAGTGAAAGTGTTTTGTCACATTAATTTTTCTGGACAATGAAGGCAAAAAGAAATCTGTAGCAAATGCAGAGGCACACACACGGCTCTGGTACAGGAGTGAGTCCTAAGAAGCCATGTGACCCAGGGGCCAAGTTATAACCTAACCTGGCAAAGAAAGGCCACATGTCCCCCATGTCATTTCTTTCTTTTTTTTTTTTTTTAAAGATTTTATTTATCTTTAGAGAGGAAGGGAAGGAGAGAGGGAGAGAAATATCAATGTATGGCTGCCTCTAGTGAATCCCCTGCTGGGAACTGGCCCGCAACCCCAGGCATGTGCCCTGACTGGGAATCGAACCGTGATCATACGGTTCACAGGCCTGCGCTCAATCCACTGAGCTACGCCAGCAGGGGCTCCCAGGCATGTCTGTGATGAAGGTATTGTCAGTGTCTCTTGTCACGGCCGGTGAAAATGACCAGCCGGTCTTTCGAAACCGAAGCAGGCCCCGAATATTGCTGACAAGTTTGGACAGTGGGGCTGCCCCAGGCTGAACCCCCATCCCTGGAGGGCAGTGTTCTGACCACCCAGGGCAGAACCCCTGAGGCTGTGTTTCCTGGGTGGGCGGACCTCTGCGGATCCACCTGGAGAAGCCCCCTGGAGGGCAGACCCCTGGAGGCCGCAGGGGGAGGAGGGGTGCCCGGTGGGGGGCACACGGCCTGCGGTGGCTCAGCAAGCCCACGGTCCCCCGGCATGTTCTCTCCTGCCCGCTCCACAGGACTCCACTGCCCTTGGCCTGCGATGTGCCTGGTGTAAAACTGGTTCCTCCTTCCTTTTAAAAAATTACTTTTTATTTTCCATTTTTATTTTAATTGTTCAAGAACAGTTTTTTGCCCTGGCTGGCGTAGCTCAGTGGATTGAGCGCGGGCCTGGGAACCAGACAATCACGGTTTGATTCCCAGTCAGGGCACATACCGGGGTTGCAGGCCAGTTCCCAGCAGGGGACGCACAAAAGGCAACCATACATTGATGTTTCTCTCCCTCTCTCCTTCACTTCCCCTCTAAAGATAAATAAATAATTTTTAAAAAAAGAACAGTTTTTTGCCTTTTACCCCCATCCCAGCCCACCCCCAGCCTTTTTTAAATAAAGGTTTAGAGAGAGGGGAGGGGAAGGAGAAAGAGAGGGACAGAAGCATTAGTGTGTGGTTGCCTCTTGCACTCCCTCTACTGGGGACCTGGCCTGCAACCCAGGCAGGTGCACTGAGTGGGAACTGAACCAGCGACCCTTTGATTCACAGGCCGGCACTCAATCCCGTGAGCCACACCAGCCAGGGCTGGTTTCTTCCTTCCTTTGGAGATAAGGGTAAACTTGTGACCATTTTTGATAACCAATTTTTTGTAGAAGGTGTTGGGGTACTTTGGTGGAAAGTGGGGGTCCTCCTCTTCGTCCCGGGACTCAGCAGTGATGGCCGAGCAGGGCAGCCACCTTGGGTCCCTGAAGAAATGTCGGGTACATGGAAGTGTGAGCCGAAGGTGGAGGAGCAAGAACAGATGGAGCCGGGGCTTAACGAGCCGGGCAGGTGAGAACGCTCAGCCCGAGTCTGAGGAGGACCCGGAGCCTTCTGGCTGGAAGCGAAAGGAAAACACGTGTCACCAATTAGCCGGTCCTCGCCCGGCCTGATGGGACAGCTGGTGTCCTGAGTATCACGAGCAAAAGACGAGGCCGGGGCGGGGGGAGGGGCCTCCAGAGCAATTTCACTACGACAAAAAGTCTTTCCTCACTGAGAAAGGAGGTCTTTGCAGGGGCACGTTATTCCCGAGGGGAAGGAGGGGAACCTAGAAGCCAGCTGAGGTGTATCATCCATGACCCCCAAGAGTCGCCATCCTTAGCTGAGCTAAGTACCCACTTGTAGCCTCGGCTCCTGTGTACGGAACACACTAACAAACTTAACTTTCTTTCCTCTGCACGCGGGGCATGTAGAGTAGCCCAGCACCGGCTTGCAGCCCTGTGCTCGTGCGTTTCATAAATAAATTCACTGTCTCGTTTCCACCACACGTGTTTGTCTCTGGCTTCAATTACTCTCCTGCGGGCGAGAAAAGGGCGGAGGCGGGGGAGGCCTCCCCACCTGCGTCCGCCTCGCCCACCGTCAGGTCTGGTCCTCTCTCACCGCCTCCTGGACCCTCCCGGACCCTCCGTCTCGGGGCCTTTGCAGGGGCCTCCCCCCTCTGCCGCACGGTGCCCCAAGTGCACCAGCTGCCGCCACCCCGAAGTCTTTACTAAATTTCACTTTCTCGGCCAGACTCCCCTAGCTACATAAAAACGCCCCGCCTTCTTGTATTCTCGGGCGTTGGGCCTTCTGAGACGCCGTCCAGTTTACTCGATTGATTGCGCCTCGTGCGACGCGGGCCGCAGGTGGAAGGCGCTCTGCCCACGCAGCGCCCGCAGCGCCCAGAGCGCCCAGGACGCAGAAGGGAAGTTTCGGGGAAGAAAGAAGACGCCCGCTCGGCCGGGTGCGATTCCCTGCCGCCAGGTAAAGACGCGGGCCTCGGCGGGTCCCTGAGACCCCAGGTAACAACCCCAGGTGCTGTTGGGATGGGGTGGGGACCCGTCAGCTGGTCCTCCGCAGCCCCTGACATTTCTCCTTTTCTGCAGAAAACAGCAGCTTGCGCGCTGGCTGCTGCTAACCAGGACCGAGAACGCGCACTCTAGGAATTTCGGGGAGACGCGTATCATCGCGTCTGAGCCTCAGTCTGGTCTCTGGCACGTGGGTCGCGGTGTCCCTCAGGCAGAGGCACCACGTGCAGCCTTGTCCCGGCTCCGTTTTAGCTTTTTTCCCCCGGAAATGTCCTGAGGCTCTAACCTTTCTCCTATTTCACCTCACTGTCTCTAGTTCTACCTTTTAGTAGATTTTATACATTTTTAAAAAGATTCTTAGTTATTTTTAGAGAGAGGGGAAGGAAGAGACAAAGAGAGGGAGACATCAATGTGTGGTCGCCTGTAGCGCGCCCCCTACTGGGGACCCGGTCTGAAACTCAGGCATGTGTCCCGACTGGGAATCAAACCTGCCATCATTTGGCTTGCAGGCCTGTGTTCCATCCGCTGAGCTACACAAGCCAGGCGACCTGCTTTCCAGGGCTTATAAATTTTGTATGTTACATCTTTTAGCTTTTATCAAAAAAATTTTTTTAATATTTATTTATTTTTAGAGAGAGGAGAAGAGGAGAGAAATATCAATGTGTGGTTGCCTCTCACAGTCCCCATTCTGGGGATCTGGCCTGAAACCCAGGCAGGGGTCCTGATTGGGAATCAAACTGGCAACTCTTTGGTTTGCAGGCTGGTGCTCAATCCACTGAGCTGCACCAGCTGGGCTAGCTATCCCATTTTTTGTTTGACAATCTTATTTGTTTTTATTTTTAATATATATTTTATTGATTATGCCATTACAGTTGTCCCATTCCCCCCATTCCCCTCCACCCTGCACACAGCTCCCCCACCATTCCCCCCTTTAGTTTATGACCACGTGTCTCAAGTTCTTTAGATTCTATATTTCCCCTACTATTCTTTCCCTCCCCCCTATCTATTTTCTACCTACCGTCTATGCTACTTATTCTCTGTACCTTTTCCCTCCTTCTCCTCCTCCCACTCCCCTGTTGCTAACCCTCCATGTGGCCTCCATTTCTATGGTTCCGCTCCTGATCTAGCTGTCCTCTTAGTTTGCTTTTGTTTTAGATGTGGTTGTTAATAACTGTGAGTTTGCTATCCTTTCACTGTTCATCTTTTTTATCTTCTTTTTCTTAGATAAGTCCCTTTAACATTGCATCTAATAAGGGCTTGGTGATGGTGAACTCCTTGAATTTGATCTTATCTGAGAAGCACTTTATCTGCCCTTCCATTCTAAATGAAAGCTTTGCTGGATAAAACAATCTTGGATGTAGGTCTTTGGATTTCATGACTTGGAATACCTCTTTCCATCCCCTTCTTGCCTGTAAGGTCTCATTTGAGAAATCCACTGACAGTCTGATGGGGACTCCTTTGTAGGTGACTGTCCCCTTAGCTCTTGCTGCTTCTAGGATTCTCTCCTTCATTTGAATCTTGGCTAATGTAATGATGATGTGCCTTGGTGTGTTCCTTCTTGGATCCAACTTCTTTGGGACTCTCTGAGCTTCCTGGATTTCCTAGAAGTCTATTTCCTTTGCCAGAATGGGGAACTTCTCCTTTATTATTTGTTCAAATAAATTTACCACTTGTGGCTGTTCTTCTTCCCCTTCTGGTACCCCTATAATTAGGATGTTGGAACATTTAAAGATGTCCTGGAGGCTCCTAAGCCTCTCTTCATTTTTTTTTATTGATTATGCTGTTACAGTTGTCCCATTTCCCCCCATTCCCCTCCACCCTGCACATCCCTTCCCGTCCATACCCCCCCTTTAGTTTATGACCATGTGTCTCAAGTTCTTTTTTTTAATTTTTTTATTGATTATGCTGTTACAGTTGTTCTATTCCCCCCTTCATTCCCCTCCACCCTACCCCCCGTCCCCACCATTCTCCCCTTTAGTTTATGACCACGTGTCTCAAGTTCTTTAGATTCTATATTTCCCATGCTATTCTTGCCCCCCCCCATCTATTTTCTATCTACTGTCTGTGCTACTTATTTTCTGTACCTTCTCCCCCCTTCTCCTCCTCCCACTCCCCTGTTGCTAACCCTCCTTGAGATCTTCATTTCTATGTTTCCACTCCTGATCTAGCTGTCCTTTTAGTTTGCTTTTGTTTTAGGTGTGGTTGTTCATAACTGTGAGTCTGTTGTCCTTTCACTGTTCATGTTTCTTTACCTTCTTTTTCTTAGATAAGTCCCTTTAACATTTCATATAATAAGGGCTTGGTGATGATGAACTCCTTG